CCCTACCTGCTATTAAAGATTTACCGTGTAGTGGGATTTAAATGTCCAGCTGAGTATTTTCTCCATATTCACAAAGGTGAGACAGGGTTCCCGTGCTACTGTGCCAGTGGCAAGGACCATACTCTGCAGTTTGTTAGTATGCAGCTCTTTTATTGGCTTTATAACCTCTTCTACCAACATTTCAGTTTGCAATAAATCCTGCAAAGGGTAAAGCACATCCCACTAGAGCTTTAAAGGAAACTGAATAGGAAACAATGAACTGCTGTGTAATGTCTCACCAAAAATTGCCTTGGGATGTGAGGAATGAGCGGTGGCAAATGGGACATTGAAAAAAAAATTCCACTAACTGCTAGAAAATATGCTAAGAAGAGTAGAACAAGCAGTAAACAAAACGTAATCACATATCATCATCCAATCACCTTGAATAAGAATGAACTCGGATTTTGTAACACCAGTTATTTGGAGGGCTCAGTGCCTATGCAGATGGAGTTCTGGTTCATACACAGTCCATACGTATTTCCAGAAAGCACCGAACAGGTTTCTTACTAAAGGTGCTTAAATTAAGCTGCTACAAAGTACAAAGAAAGAGCCTCACATAAATAAACCATAAAAATCCTGTATTACTAGGTGGAGTTGACCACGGTGTCTTCCAGAGATCTGTGCAGCGGCCAGTTCTCGTCAGTCCTCGCCCTTTCTTTCTGATGCCAGACGACAATTCTCAGAGCACACACCTTAGTCAAAATTTTGGAAATCTGACAAAACAACCGCCCCTCATGAAAAGTAGTAGCAAACTCTGCCTTGAACTATTTATAATACTTCATCTCAAAGCACTTTCAGAGAAAAGAATCGTGTGCCGTAGAGCACTGTTGCCACATGGCCTAGAAAGAAACTGCAAGATTAGAAAGCTGCAAACACTACATCATATACTGCTATGTATTTATTTTTATCGAGACAAGATCAAAGATCTGTGGTTGACTATTTCAGGAGTCTTGTCAGTAATGGGTTTGAACTGACTTTTTAAAGTGCCACTACGTACACATTGTGATAAAATAAACAAAAGCAATTTAAATTACCAGCATTCGTTACTTTTGTCATCTCCCACCTCTCATAATAACCCATGCAGCTGTGTCACAGAATACTGCACCTACACCTGAATGACCAGAAAACTGACCAGTTAGCCACAACAGAAACAGAGAAGGGGCTTAGAAACAGCACTCGAGGAACCATCTGAGACCGTGACTGAGGAAACAAGAACAACACAGGGTGGCCACAGACCAAAAAGTGGGACTGCCTCCTGGTACACTGACTTTTTGATTAACTAGTTAAAAAGACCAAAAAAAAAAAAAAACCAAACCAAAACCCAATCCCCTAAGACACTGAGGTTGCTTCTATAAAACGAATTCATCACTAACTCATTTACTGAGTACAAGCGTAGCTCCACCATTACCACTGTTGGACAGGGAATTATGGGAAAGGAGATGAACTGAAATAATCCGAAAGAGAAGTTACTCTTGATAGCAACACATGCTTCAGTGAGACTCCTCATGAGAGGATCTCAGAAGCTTTCCTCCTTCAAGGGGGGGATCAATCAAGGGTCTCTGATCCTGAGGATTCTTGTTGACGTCACTCTTCCACTTGGGCGACACAAGGAACACAGCAGAGCGGCATCTGCGGATGTTGACACAGACTCCTAAACCGTCTGTATCTGAATTTCTCAGACTCATTGGAATCTAACTGTCTTCCCATTGGTGAAAATTTCTTTAAAAAAATCATGAATGCAAGATATTTTCAAAAAGAGTAGCTCTTTATGAACTCTAGTACTAAACTGAAGGAAAAAAATGCATTCTCCTTGTGAAAACAGGAGAGCATTATCTGTAATTTCAGTGAGTGCAAAGTATTTTACAAGCTTTATCTCTCGTTTCTCTGACTATGTAAGTGGGCACTTCATGTTACAAATCTTAATTTCTGTTTTGCTTTATCATTTATTAAAGTGACAACAGTAACACCTACACTCTTAGTTTATGTTGCTGGTTCCATTGTTAGTGTCCCTGCCAATTACATTTTTGGGATCTTAAAAGCTGAATTTCTCAAAACAGAAACAAAGTCAAACTTACCATTTTCTTTTCTAAAGGAAATTATTACTATTAATGCTTATTTATGGAGTCATTCATATTTACCTTTATCAGTAATTCATTGTGAAATGTTCCAGAAATAAAGTTACAACACATGGATCTGTATGACAACATCTAGTGGACACTGTCCCTTCAGTAAGAGGAAGAACACACACACTACTCAGCAGAAGCATTATCTGCTGTAAAAAGCTGCCAATTCAAATACCACCCTGCATTAGAGATATGCTCAACTGCATTCTGATGCGGGGTCCTTCTGTTTTGACACAGGGCCCTGGAGAGACTGCCTACAAGCACTAGAAGATGGCCACGACACAAGCTCCATCTATCTCGTAAAACCAGAAAACACAAACCGGCTCATGCAGGTCTGGTGCGACCAACGGCATGACCCTGGGGGCTGGACAGTCATTCAGAGACGGCTGGACGGCTCTGTCAACTTCTTCAGGAACTGGGAGACCTACAAGGTTAGGATGAGGGAGCAGTTCCATGTTCTCTACCCTCAAAAATTACTGGTAAAGTTAATTTAAAGGGTGATTTTAGAGCCTGGCCAACATCTTACTGGAAAAGGAACCTGTGTGGTTACCCTTCCAGAAGGGGAGTCTATAAAATAAGTTACTGTGGCTTGCTACTGAAGAATACACTCAGATTTACCACTAGAACAGACACACAATATTGATATGCTCTTTCTTCCTTTACAGCAAGGATTTGGTAATATAGATGGAGAATATTGGCTCGGATTGGAAAATATTTATTGGTTAACAAATCAAGGCAACTACAAACTGCTCATAACAATGGAAGACTGGTCAGGTCGAAAAGTATTTGCCGAGTATGCGAGCTTCAGACTGGAGCCAGAAAGCGAGTATTACAAGTTGAGACTGGGGCGCTACAACGGCAACGCGGGAGATTCTTTCACTTGGCACAATGGTAAACAGTTCACCACGCTGGACCGGGACCACGATGTATACACAGGTACAAGACCCCTTTCAGTTGCCTTGCTTTTTTTGTCCTTCCCCACTCCCTTTTTTTTTTTCCCACTTATTTTTTAAAAATGGAAAAATACTTATGGTGATACACACCCACAAAAAAGAAATTACATTTTTAGAGATTTGTCAATTAGTAACTTATGAAGCAGAAACTGATGTGTCAACCCTTATGCATACTAACGCTGAAACAAAAATTCTCATTGAAATGTTTATCATTTACACTAAACAAGGATCTGTAAAATATGCTGGGAGGTTATTTGAGACAGTAATGCAAACAAATGTTCCAGCAAGGGAGAGTAACGCTAATGAGTCCATCTCTAGAACGTAGTTACAGAGCTGGTTCCCAAAGAAGCCTAAATTCACCTTGTACCACATGGTATCGACATGTTAAACACACAGTTAAAAAAAATATATTGTTTTGTGCCTAGCTTGCTGTGAGATTTTTCCTTTGCTCCTGAGACTGAATCAGGGCTTTCTTTTTCAGGTAACTGTGCTCATTACCAGAAGGGAGGATGGTGGTACAATGCATGTGCTCATTCAAATCTCAATGGAGTCTGGTACCGTGGAGGACACTACCGCAGTCGGTATCAGGATGGTGTTTACTGGGCTGAATTCCGGGGGGGATCGTATTCACTAAAAAAAGTTGTTATGATGATAAGACCTAACCCCAACACATTCCACTGAAATAATTCTTCTCTTGGTTTGCTTTCTTGTTCTAAAAATCATGTAAAGTTATGATGTTATTATCTGGAATTATCTTTGCAGAAATGAGGAATGTAATATATTGTACATTTACTGCTAAGATGTGAGGGCTTGTATATTGTATTTTCAAGAATCATTCCAGGAAAAAAAAGCTGAAGAAAGCAAGGAACTGAAATGGCATAACATTCGGAACACCTCTTAGTACTAGAAGTAGTTATTTTAAGCCTTTTAGAACTGGCAGTTCAGATGGACTGTAGATTAACTTTCTAGTTTTTATTCCCTGTAAATTAAGTTTGGATGGTAAAAATACTGCCATAACATTTAAATATTTTTGTATGTTATATTATAAATATTCTCAAATACAGGAAATATTACAAACTGTACAGCAAGAGTTTTATTATTATTATGAGCAATAATGTGACACAGGAAATCATATCCTTTGAACTGTGTAGCTGGTATATATGTACATTAGTGTGACTATTCTAATTTAATCTTTGTTAGCTGCCATGAATAAAGTTAATACTATATAATTTGATTTAGAGAGCAGATACTCAAACCATTACTGTAGTGATGAAGTCTTTCCCCTTCACTTTGAGCATTTTAATAATCTGGCCCTGTAAATTAGAATTCACATTTGATTCAAATATATTAGATTAAAAACTCTAATGATTTTTTTTACCCAAATGAAGTAGCTACCTGCATATGGAAATTAATCCAGATTTACAACAGGTATAACATGTAGTATAATATATTGGCTATACAGCAGAACAACTGCCACAGTATTTTGTCCCGTGACTCCAGTCATGACCTGCTGTGTAGCCTCTATAATCAGAAATGGCTGGACTATCCAACTTTGCAGGCAAATGATGGATACCAATACATAAGCTATTTAACATCGTTAGCCAGTAGATTAAAATTATATAAAGAAGTTACCTGTAGCCAAGAGAAGCTATATTTACTGTATTTCACAATTATACCATATTACTGTCAAATTATTAAATTATTAATTATTTTGCTCGTCTGTGTTTAGAGATCAGACACATCTATGACACACTGACTGGGATAATTCTCATATTCTTCTGAGGTGGGTTTCTAGAACAGATTGTTACAACACCCATTTCAAAACAGCAACTACTATGAAAAATGTAAGTTAAAGAATGCGTATAAGAGGGAGAGCAAGAGCCACTGGAAGCTCCACGTATTTTTCAGTAACCCTGTAGGATACTTACTGTGTGTTTGTGTGCGTGTGCTTGCACACCTTTCCCTTATTACCTCGTCACCTCTCTGCCACAGAATGATGTGCATTAAACTGACGTGTCATGTAGCATGTGTTGTATATAACTGAAAGTAGGTTTTTAATATATTAGAATACCCCTGTGATATTGTACTCCTTTAATAAAGCAAAAAATGTTATTTTGACATGTTCAGGTTTCATCCTGTTCTCGTTCAGATTACTCACAGCAAAGAACAGATAACTACTTAATTTCATACCGCTCTGCCTCATGACTCAAATCAACTCTGATACGCAACTGCTATTAATGTGCAGTGTCTAAATATTGCAAAATCAAAAGAAAAGCCATTTTCAGCTGAAAAAAATACTAAATTTCTATACATCCTAAGGAGGAAGAACTTTCTGTAGGTCATACAAAACCAGCAAAATTTTCAAACAGTATTCAAGCTTTATCTGCCACTGATTTATCTACTGGAGAACAATTAAATTTTAGGTTAAGAAATATTAAATGGAGCCACTGGCTCTACAGCCTGGCCACAGAGCTCTAACAGGAATGTAGCATCAAGGCAGTAAAATTCCTGCCAACATCTACAACCACCCACTAGTTTTGTCAGAAGAAAACACACAGCAGACACATCAGTAGACCGATGCCTGCCTTAGAAGAGTCACTTATGAGTTCTTCAGTGTGCATGGTGCGTACGCACATTCAACTTACTATGTGTCTGTAACTAAATAATCAAAAATTCCTGATACATAGCTCATGGACTACAATGAATATATAACACAATCTCTTCACAAAATAAACCAAAATCTTCCTGAGACTGAAAGAAAGCAAATAGACCCATTTTTTTACTTTATGAAGCAAACACTTTTTTTTTTTTTTTTTAATTCTTTTGTATTTCTTGTAAACTAAATACAAATTTTAAGCAATCATTCCAACTTTCTGCAGGAAAAGTGCTTAAAATTCTCCCACTGCATGTTCATGTTATGTAATGAACTCTGGGGCTTAAGACACAGCTTAGCTACCATTAAAGTTTTCCAAAACCTTCCCTCAAGCCACAGCACCACCTAACCTGGGTCCTGGAATCCTCAGGGATCCCAGAGTTAGAACCTTACAGGGCTTGCCGATGTACCTCAATTGCACAAGATAACCAGGAAACAAGTTACATCTGAGACGGTTACAATGCTCACAGCAGCACCATGTCTGATGCTGGAGTACAAGAACACAGGGAGGGACCTGGGACAATTCTCATCAGGTGCCTATCTCAGCCATGCAGATCATACGGTCCCTATCACTATATAAATTCACTAAGGCTCATCAGAAAAACCAGGACATTGCTTCCCCTCCAACTTCCAGCTAAGGATGCTTTACGCATTGATCGTTACAGATGCAGATAAAGAACAAGGTATCTTTTATGCACATCTAATGAGAAAGCACCACATATTAGAAATTAAATTCCGCTTTCAGTGATCATTAAAGCTACGAAGACTTCTATTTTTCAGCCAAAAAAACCCAGTCAAGGAGTAGCACAAACACAAAACCAATACAAAAGCAACCATCAGCTGTAAGCACTAACAAAACCGCAGTCACACTGAAAGGCTTAATGCCAAAAGGCTGCATGATATGAGAATTCTGTCCAGATGACAATTCTGAACATGCTTGTAATAAATGGAGGTGAGCTTTGGTATGTCATGTCAACATAGTCTTTTTGGACCTATGCAAACAACCTCGAAGGGAAGATTAGCAGAAAAGATACAGCATTTTACGATTTTAACCTTGACCAGAATGAAAGCACGCCCGAATTCTAAGTCCATTCCTTCAAAGGATGAAGATGGCTTTATAGACTAACTGGCAGGACAGCTGTATACACACAGTACACAAATGCATGAAAATTTTACAGTCCTGAATTTATGCCAGTCTTCCACTTCATAAATACAAACACAGTAAGTAAAATATTCCCAGCAATTGTTCATATCTTCTATATCCTAAACTAATAAACTGCCTTTTCCGCTTTTGAATCAGACTGTCCACAGCAACATATTTGGCAAGAAGGCTTGGCGCATCCATTTTCTTCTCTAACAGTCTCTTAGTAAAGAACAAAAGCAGTTCCGCAAATGACGATTTGGAAAGCAACTTACCTTTACGGGTCCATGGCCCTTGCTCAGGGCAAACAAAAATCCCAAACAAAAAGCTATCTCCACACCATTCAAAATCAACACAATACCACGTGTCACGGATTTCTTACAAAGTATATGCACTAAATCAACAAAATAAACAGTGAAAAAGCCAAAGGGACGAAGGCTCTACAAAGCCTACTGCAAACGAGATTAAGCTGTTGATGGTTCAAGGGCTCACACAGCCACATAAGGGCTGTAGTCCCTTCAACACTTCAAGACTCAAATAAGCTCGTGGTGCTAAAAAGTCTAAGCACAAAGTAGAGAGTTCTCCCCATGTATCTTTTTGAAATTCTGTGAATATGCCAGCTTTGCTCATGCTAAGTAATGAATATCACAATGACAAGAAGCCTTCTAGGAATACAACGTGTTTCTCTAAGAACTGTTAGGTATCGTTCCTAGAATACTTAACTTTGCTTCTCGCGTGCATGGCTGCAATTGTAGATTAACTGCAATCCCTGTGTCAGGAGCAACAGCCACCCCCAGTACTTTAGGTAAAGGCTAATTTCACATTTGATGTTGTGGAGTTCACATGGCTGAAGCACAAGGCAGAACGATGTTGCATGAGGAAAAAAGTTGCATTAGAAGTGGAGTTTGTGGTTACATCAATACTTTAAAATTATTAAGATGTCTCTTCATGGTGTATTCTGTTGCTTGTAGCTTTGTCAAATATTACTGACTTGTGCTGAATATGTGTGATAGAAATTCCGGCTCAGTTTGAGGTTTTTTTAATATGTTTTTTTCTGGAAGTCATATTTACAGAATTTTAAAAACAATTACTTCACCAGGGCCATGCTTTGCATACCTGGACTGCTATAGAAAAAGCACTGTATTTGTCCATTCTTGGGCACTAGAAAATAATTACAATAAATTATCTTATTCTTTCCATTATATCACTTAGAGAAGATATGGTTAAATACTTCTTAAGTAATTGCACAAAATGTCCACAAGGCAGAGATCCTAGTGTATATACAGTGTATAGCTTCAAAATATCCACCCGATCTAATTTTTCTAAGTATGAAATGAAGTGAAACATACCTGCTCTATATAGTGTTCTTCAGGTGCACAACATGCGACATTCGTGCTTCTCAGTCAGCAGGAGCTACAGACAAATAAGGTAATTGTTCACACTCACCTAAATACGGGATAGAAGGAACCATTTTTAAGCTTCTGAGGTACTCTCGTGTCCTTTTATAATTATCTTCCTTAGACAGTAAGTAGTCCAACTTCTCAAAGGTGGTCTTGTCTTTGCGATTCAAAAGCTACACAGAAAAAAAGGAAAGATATAATAAAATTCTGAAAGACAAATCCACACAAAGATAGAAACAAATAATAATTTGTTGAATCACCAGCAGTAAAAGCACAGTCAAGATTAAATTCATCATCACCCACACCTGCACAATGCTTGAAAACATGCTAGCAGAAAAGAAAAAAAAGTGCACTTCAGTGTAAGTCTTAAGCTATGAATAAATACAATTATTATTTCTGAACAGTTTATCAGGGATCCACATATCACTACCTCAGAGTTTTGAATAACCAATATTAAATTTTTAGAGGAAAAATATAAGTTATTATACAGTCACCAATATTCTCATAGTTTATCAGAGTTGCTGACAATCCTCTTGATTTTGAAAGCAGAAACAGTAATGGAAAATGCTCTAAATAAATACAAATTCTGCCATTTCAACAATGCCTTATTAAAAGTGCAACAAAGCTTTTTGGATAGAAGGAAAGCAAATCACTATGACATGAAATCTCTGCTTTCTATTACTGCACTTACTACAGAAAATCAGAAAAATATTTAACAACGCAAAAGATCCTAATGTGACAGAGGATTGAGAAGTAAACTCAAAAAATGCAACTGTAGCTATAAAAACACATTCCTATTTCAGTTGTTTTAGAAACACCAGCAATATTTTTGAGATGATTTTAAAAGCCAATTGAGTCAGAACGACTGGAGAACTATGGCACTGTACGCCGGCTTCTTGCACTTGTACTTTCCGACGACAGACAGCTGTTCCACAGCACATTCCTTCATACACCTCCTCCTCTGCAAAATTCTAGCTCCTGCGCTGCGGAGCTCGTAAGCCTGGCTGCTCTGTTCCGAGAGAACCACAAGTCTGCCCGTTATCATAAGCAACACTGCAAGGGATGCACACGAGTGAACTGCTTCATCCAGTCCCGCTGGCAACAGCGCAGGCTGGACGGAGCCATCGGTAACGAGAACTGTGAACGGGAGCCTCTGGAGCAACGCCCCACATCACAGCCAAGGAACAGCTGTCAGTAAAGCCTCACTAAAGGGTACAAGACTGGAAAGATAACTCTGCTGTCTTCTTTCTAAACAGCACAGAACTCCCTGAAGCCGTAAGCGCGCTGCACGGTATTCCTGAACGACTGCGCCAACAAAGAGCCGCACACGGCACCAGGTCTACGTCTGGCAGTGAATTATTCACACGCCTGGTTTCACACCTGAGCAATTTTCCCTATTTAGGTTCCAACTTCACCAAGTTGCTCAAAAGAATATAAAGAATCTTCTTCCCACGCATGCAATTCGACAATTCAGAGTTCAGAAAACCTCAGAATTCAAACAAAACAGAGAAGACAAGGGTCAAGGAATAACTTACAGCCCAGGTTTTGGTCAGTCTGAAGATAGGTGCACTCTGCAGCGCTGACACCACAGACATAAGAGAGTGAAGGTTATTCAGTTCTAGAAGCTTCTGAAAAAAGGGAATAATAGCTTTTAGCACATCAAAAAGGGAAGCAGGATTAATTAATCTCAAAGTTGCACTTATAAAATACACACTATTTTCATTAATAAAGTACAAAGTTTTCATCCATGACTGCAGACAATAACATTATCCAATGCTGTCAATGAGCAAAATTCTTAAGATCAATTTAAAAGTTGCAGATTTTCCAAATATATCCCTCAAAACAGTAGGCATTTCAGTTGTGAGACTATAAACTGTACTTAATTTGAATTTGTTATTTTCTAAGGCTGTTCCTTCAGGAGCAGAAAATATGAAAAAAATAATTGATGCATTGTTCTTGAAAAAAAGTATAATTTTTGAAATTAAAAATTTAATCAAGCCAAAAACAGCAAGCAAAGATGCTGATGACCCCTCCTGAATTACTACAACTTTTTATTTTTTAATTTGTTTTACAGGACAAATTTTCCTCACTTTAAAATTAATTCTCCATTGACAATTACTCAAACCACATTGATCGCAAAAGAGATAATACTTTGGAATAAAGCTGTCTTAGATGATAGAGTTTCCCACAACATCGTTCCAGAACGAGCACTGCTGTCATGTAGCTTCTTTCTAAATCTTAAAAAGGGGCTGGATTCATCCTTGAGTGATCAATTTACTCATTGCTCAGGAGCATTTGAGGAAGATCTGGATTTTATTGAGGGAGGAAAGAAAAAAAGACAAGACAAAAAGAGGGCAATGTTTTCCCTCTGCAGGGGGAAAAAAAACCTCTTATTTCTAAGAACAACCTAGCACCTCCAAGCTGACCATTCTCCTAGTACCGAGACTATGCATTTGTGCCAGGAACTTATTCAGACACATCCTCTTCTGCACAAGCACAAAACTGCTAAGTAAACTGATTGGAACTATTCACAATACAAAAAAAAAAAATTACTTTGTATTACATGGAAAACATTATTCTAATTGCCTACACACACAATTTTACATGCACAAGATTAGCATTCAGGTCTTTGATCCTAGTACTGTCTTCTAACTAACTAATACTAATAAGTATCACACAGGGTCATACAAAACAGAATGACCACAGGTCACAAAGCAGAAAAACATTTTTTAAAATAAATCGATTTTTTTCAAAAGTTAAGAATGACTTGTAAAATGCAGTGCTCAAACTCATTGAAATAACTGAGCTTTAACGGTGTTGGCAACATCTAACTGGCCATCAACAAGACAAACCACTGTTAAACGCGTTAGGCAAAGGTACAAGAGCAGTCACGCTGAACTGTGTAACTTTATTTAACCAAGGAAAACCAATAGATAGCATACCTTTATCTCATTCATCTGGTACAACATAGCAGATATGCTAAAAAACAATGTTACCCTCTGTCATCCAACAACGGTTCATAGGAGTAGTGCAGAAACAAACAAAAAGAAATAAGATTTTGAATGATAGTGCAAGATATTTGTACTTACTTTAGCTATTTTCACAAAATGGCTCAATATTTCTGCCCTTATTTTTAAGGTCTGTGCTGTTAATATTTCTCGTACAACCCAAAAACTGACCTATAAAGTAAACACATATAACTGAATTTATTTACAAAAAAAGGACTTTGTTAGGTGAAATATTTGCAAACTTTCATTATGTTCCAGGGAGAAAACAGGGTAAGGAAAGAAAAGAGTTCTGACATCATGAGTTCTCATCTGCAGAGCTGCAGCTGACCCAAAAGCCTTACCTCTGTATGTAAAAAGTAGGTAGAGAAGTGACGCAACACTAAAATAACTGAATGAGCAGGTGAAACACAGAAAAAGAAGGAAAAGAACTGCTAGTGTTGTACCATGACAAAATCAGAAAAAACTAGTAGGAACCAATGGTTTAGAGGAACAATACAAAAATGTGGACAAAGCAATTGAAAACAAGAAGTGCCTTTTAAAAATCTTAATTGAGAAAAACATTCTGAAGTTTTAATTCATAGGAGTAGTTCTATTTCACTTTATACTCAAAGACAACTGTCAAACAGTACCTGTTCATCACAGTAATCAAATCATTTACCTGGTTAAACCTCCTAGTAAAGGCAACAATATTTGGAGCAAGGATGTGTTTTTCTTTCTTATTCCATCCACAGCTCGCTAGTTCCTAGGAAACACATTTAAAAATTGCCTTAAAAATCAGTAATGTTTAAACACATTGAAAAGTGTAAAAACTGACGCATGACAAGCATCTCTCAGGTAACTGCCAAAACTAATCCAACAACAACTAGTTGATGACAACGAGTCTAACCAAACACTTCTGTGTTTTCCTGATGTACGTAAGTGATGTGGTTCACATATGCTCCTTACACTAGAAAAAACAGAGATCATTATTAATATTCAGATACAGAGAGACTGAGCAATCGGCTACAACTGATGTCTCTGAAGTTCCATTCTGCATTGATGGTTTCAGTCCAGGGTTCCCTTGTATGAGCAAAACAGCAGACAGGGGAATAAAGACTTTGCTACTTTCCAATGTCCATGCTAACTTTGACTGCTTTCTCTCAAGTTTCTTTCAGAGTCTTTCTTAAAAGGTTAAAAAATTAAAGGACATTAATGTATTAAATTTTTAAGGGATTAGGATGATTTATTCCCTCAGAATTAATCTCAAACATGATCGTACAAATTAAAAAGTTTACCAAATGGCTGATGCAGCCAGGTTATGATGAGAGACATAGGTCAAATGAAAACAGGAGCAGAAGAGAGAGCAGAGAATTTTGACATCTGATAAATTTATCCTGAAAAAACACCCAACACAAAGCAGGACAGGAAGATATCTCTCGGCAAGAGATGACAAATCAAAGTAAATCAGCCCGGGTTACGGATTCACAGCGCTAACAAGGAATAAGCCTAGAGGAAAATCAGTGCAGTGCAATGAGAAAGCATCATTTAAGTGGTTACACTTCCTCAGGCACCAAGTTCCAAAGACATAAACAGCTTGTTTAAGAACACCTACCTCGGGCTGTATAGCTTTAAACACTGGCGTATCCATCAGTGTAATCTGGCTCTGCAATAAAGATATAATTTTAAACAAAGCGATACGAAGAGCTGACGATCGTGTATTTACATCTCCGGCAGGGACAGAGCCAACCAGCCCCGACCCCCACCCCGTCCGGAGCCGCCACACGTCCTCTGCTCCCCGACACCCACCGGCTGAACCAAGGGAAGGTTCTCGGTACCTGCAGCAGTCTGAGGGGAAAAGCCCCTGTTTGAGGGTCTCACTGTCTGGGCCCTTCACAGGCGCCACACAGGGCAGGAGGATTCCCTGCCTCCCACACAGAGAACAGCTTCCTCCTTCCCTTCACCAGTGAAAGGCAAGGAGCGTTAGTTACGAGGTGTTAGTTAGTTACAACCAGAATATGGTTCAAAGGGGCCATACACAGATCTTCAGTCACGTCTGTCTGAGTGTGTCCTGATAAGACACTGTAACGCTGTTTCAAAGCCAGCAATTTTGAACACGAGCATTTATAGAACATTTATAGCATCTCAGTGATAAGATACTTTAATTAATTCAGCAATCGAATGACATATATTTGGAAGTTACGTAAATTACCTTTAACCAATAGTACTGCAATTATACCATGAGTGTATGAACCCACAGAACTTTGAACTTTGTAATTTACATGATTTAACAAAAAGAAAATGTCAAAGAAGGGTCCTTTGGATCTTTCCCCAGCAAAGCTTCTCTGTTGGCTATCTGGTTATGCTAAACCCAAAACAGCAAAAGCTTGCTAAACCCCTCTAAAAATGCTAATTTGATTCCACAAATTAAAAATGATAACCATCTATTTACACATAATTTTAACAAGGTTTCTACTGTTAGTACGATTCCAAGACACGAGCCTATAAAAGTTAACGAGGCCCATAGAACTCGACAAATGTGCTGGTGCAGACGACGCACTACATGCTGGGCTGTTTTGGAGTTAATATTCAGCCTCCTCCGATGAAATCAGACATATCCATTTTTGTGTGGTTTCACAGGTCTGTCTAAACCATGGCTCTGGTCACTTCTGAAGGTAGTCCTTGGCCATGGATCATCTGAACTTGGATGAACAGGAGCAAAAACATTGGGCCACTTTCGAACTGAGTTGATGCAGATTTGCCAACAGAATGTTTTTGTATTTTTACCAAACAACAGCTCTCATCCATGCACTCGGCACTAGGGTTAAAAAAGACTCACCAGAATTTGTTCCAAAGTGACAAACTTATAGGAATAATGTAACTATATCTCCAGGACTTTTCTTGTGAACGAGTATTAAACGATCTTATGCCAAATGAGGGAAACATCACTTTGATGCTCAATATACTCATGAAAACACTGAACTAGGTTCAATAGCTTTAACCCTCACTCCCTTCCTGCTCCCCAGCAAGTTAACATATAAATTAAAAACAAGGGCCCAAGCACAAGAACTGTACTGGACCTTTGCCAAATCTGCAGCTCCACTTTCAGTTTAGTACCGAAAATTTCTTATTAAGGAATGCAAATTGCTTCCTCTCTACAAGCTTCTTTCCTGCTTTTAAGAAACTGTTTTTTTCTGAGAAACTGATGTTACAGCAGAAAAGATGAGTATTTGTGGTTTCAAGTAAAAAATGAATCAGACTGTGGATAACTAACATCTTTAAACCTATGCTAAGGTCTTATCAGACACTAAGAAAAAATCAAATTACTTCACACAGAAAAACAAACGCAGTGTGTCAGGTTGGTACTGAATGATTAAATCCCAAGACATGTTTATTATTTTAAAGTTTACATAATCAGAAATTTGTTTTCAAGAACATTGAAAGTTCATTTAAAAGATTTTAAGAAGAAAGTTTTATGTGTTTTTTTAATATCCTGCAAACCCCGAGTATTACACAAGCTAAAATGCAAAAATAACACTTCTACTTACGGCAAACTCCTCAGGAGTTACTTTCAAGACATCAAATACAACTGCATCGTAGCTTTTATTGGCATAATCTGAACTTCGCCCTTCCAGAGAATCTGAGCTGCTACTACCCTACAAAGAAAAAATAGCAGGCTTATCTGCAGAATGATTAATATCATGCCAAATTCAGAAAATAAATATGTGTAAAAATATCAAGAAATGACAAGAAAACATATGAACTCCAAAAAGCTTCAGACACTGAATTATACAGTTTAGTTTAGCACTGCTCATTAATGTTTCCAACTTTTTTCTGCAAGAACTATAGTGACATACAATTTTAGCTCTAGGAAATTTCCATCTGTGGAAAGCCACTTTTAAAAATTATAGACTAGATAAAAGAGTTGTCGCACAAAAAGAAATGTGTTGGGATTTTGAAGATTCATATTCAACAGAAATTTTTAAATTAAATACACAAGGTAAAGAGTGGTTCGATCAAATCATGCTGATCTATCCGTAACACTATAAGCTGTATTATGGATTTTTGTTTTGTGGTAAGATTGTTAAAGATCAGCTCATGGATGATTTGTTTCATGAAAAGTGGGACAACTGCCTTGATAGGATCAAGTTGTGTGTGCAAAAGGCACCACTATGATGGAAAAACTTGCTTCACACAGCTCTGCAGCTGTCTCAAGAGATGAAGCAGCAGAGTTTTTCCACCAGGGAAGAATTTCATCAAAATGCTACCTTTTTAAAAAGCAAAAAGTACCTCCAATCACACATCTAAAACACGTGCTTTACTGCACAAGCTTTACTGTAGCTGATTCATAACATTTCATCATAATATTACATGAAAGTAAAAAACCAGAAAAACTCAGCATGTTACATTGTTCTTAACTCATTAATAGCAAACAGCTGCTTTAAGTTATGAGAGCTATAGGTCAAAAATACTATTAAAGCTGATCTAAACGAGTAATCATCATCAGCAACAATCACAGAACAGGTCGTGAACACCGAGAACCATGGAGCGGTTCTCCATCGCCCTGCTGTCAAACACTACACCACTCGTGAAAAACAGGACTGACGTGACTGGCAGTGGAAAGGGCTCATGTCAAGGCTGAAACAAGCCAAAATTTACATGTTGATAGAGGAGCTAACAAAAACCGAGGAACTGTACCTCTGGAGTGGCAGAAGTGACCATCACATTGGCCATGAAGTCATTCCTTTTATACATGCTCTCCCCGAGACGCAGGAAGTTTCAGCTCATCCAACGCTGGTGAGACAACATGATGAGAACAGAATTCCTGCAAAGGAAATGCGTTCACACCAATAAAGAATACAAATTGTAAAAACCCCAACAATACAAGGGATTTCATTGCTCTTTCTCAGAGAAAAGAGCTTCAGAAACAAGATTATCTTAGGAGCTAAATTCTCTTCCCTCTCTCAGGTACCAACTGGGAAGGACACGACTGGATCTCTCTGAAGCCATGCCAAGCCCTTAACCCTGCCTCCAGGCACCTCAGGAACACAAACTCCTTCAGCAAAACCCGCAGGTGCTCAAATATGCACCCAGGGATACTAACACATCTCCCTTTGCATCCTCGTGCCTTCCCTAACACTGAGCACACAAACAGGAAGGTGCTGCAAAAATAAACCAGCTAAGAACAAAAATAACCTCTTATTTTACTTCCTCGAGAAAGATGAGGTCTTCCCCCCACCTGCCATCCCTGCAAGGCCACGCGTGACAAACAGAACAACTCTCCCCATGATCTCACGGTCACGCAGGAAACAAATCGGTAACTGCATGGCAAGTAACACCTCAGTTAAACTAGTCAAGAAGCAACTCCCTTTATCTTGTGTCCTGATAAAATTAACCCATACTGTGAGCACCAACAGGCTGCAAAGTATTTCTAGGTCTGGAGCTGCTCCTGTTACTAGTCCTTAGAGATACCGAAGTGGAAAGCAATTTTCATGATGTAATTTCTTTAAAACGTGGCATTTACATCAAGGCCACAAAAATATTCTCGTCTCCTCCTTCTCTGCCTTTCTGACCAGGCTTTCCAGTGTGCGGGGGCTCAGAAATGCTCTGAAAGGGGAAAGAAAAATCCCATATGTGATCCTGTATCCTGTCCAAGTTTTACTCCAAGTTTTAATGTTCACGGAACCAAAAAGAGACAAAAGTGCTTTAATATCTGAAACCAAAAGCAGTAATGTACTTTTGCCTTTCAACCTTTTGTATTAAGAAAAAGCTTGCGAGGTCAGGCACTTTCATTCCAAAAAGGACCAAAACAGATTTTTCCCCAAAACATTTCAAACATAACACAAGCATTAAAAATGCACTATTTTTTCCTATGTGCATACATTTCTCCAAGATTCACATCTCCTTAGAAGAAATAACGTCTCTACACACCCATTTGTTTTGCTGCCTTGAGGAAAGTCATAGGGAGCAATTATCCTTGTAAGTCAAATCCAAGAAAAAGTTCGTATTCTTATAAATCACCTGGTAATTTGAAGTGTTTCCACATCTGCAATCAAAAAGGTATTACTCTGCAAATTAAGTAACCCTGGAGCTGCTGCTAAGCCTACGTTAACAAAAGGCCACCAGACTACACAAATATATTGAAAACAACTAATACAAAAGCTGCTCCCCCATACTTGCAACACTTCACCCCAAGAAGATTAAAATGAAATCTTCAAAATTCTGAAAATTATCAAAGGTCCAACATGTTGTCAATAAAAGGTAAAAAGTCACTAAAATGTTACATAATTTCTTTTCACAGCTTTTGCTTCTTAAAAATTCTTTCAACTTGTTCAGGTCAATCATTAAAATGATGCATTATACAAACAGCACTAAAAACACCTGATCTGTCTGTATGGGGGGTCACAAGTACGTTGCAATAGATCTCATTTATGGATAGCCACAAGCAAAGTGGATAGATCAGGATGCAAACACACATACCACCAGAGGTTGTCTGTTCTTCTTTGACAACTTAACAAACACATTCAGATCTGCAGTTCTCTTGACACAAAAATGAAGACGGTGCAAGAACAACTAAACTGGAAAAAAACAAAAACCAAAACACCACCATCAACACTGAGCACAGAATTAACCCCTGCAGCTATTTGTTACATTTTGTCATCTATGGCACAGAAGTGACATTCTCTGAAAGCAGGAATCCAAATTTTACATTTCTGTTGGTACTGCGCGTGTAATCCAGTTACAACGACCGCAAGTTAATTCTCACTACTAGTTACCCAACTGACAGGAAAGCCACTGCGAGACCCCCACCCACAGACACCGCCCCTGGCCAGGGAAGTCCCTGTGCCCCCATTTCCAAACGCCAGCAGAGCAACCCGGGGAAGTTCCCAACTGTTCACACTGCTCTCAGCAAACATGAGAATAACCATACCAGCAACTGCGGATGGCCGTTGTTCTCACTGACTTCTTGTTGGAGGAAAAAATACTGAGCTGCACAGGCTTTTGATCAGAGCTGCTACAGCCACCCTGGGCTTCCAAACCCCAGTCACTGCTTTCGTCAGTTCATTGTGGGTTTCCTAATACGAGATGGCACACTTTGGTATTCTTCCAAAAGAGAACTGCTCTCTCCTAAGATCATGCTAGCTGCACAGGGGTTTGGTGAAGACAACTTCAGAGCACACGGGTCCTGTTTGGGCACTGATATAAACTTGGCTGGAACCAACAAAAGTCACCAGGTGTCTTCTGGTGTTTTAAAAATAAATTTAGAATAGAATCATTCCAGTTGGAAAGGATCTACAATGGCCACCTAGTCCAGCTGCCGGACTGCTCTGGGGTGACCACGTTACAGCCTGTGGCCAAGGGCACTGTCCAAATGCCCGGACACTGCAGGGGTGGCATCGGCCCCTCTCCAGGAAGCCTGCTCCAGCGCCTGACTGCCCTCGGTACAGAAATGTGCCCCAGGATCCATTCTGAACCTCCCTTGACTCAACACCGGAACCATTCCCAACCTCCCTTGACTCAACACCGGAACCATTCCCACACATCCGGCCCCCGGGTCCCGGGGAGCAGAGCCCACACCTCCCTCCCCACGTCCCCTCCCCAGGAACGTGTGAGAGCGACGAGGGCCCTCAGCCTCCTCCGACCCGCACACCCCCCGAGTCCTCCGCCACTCCGCAGAGGACGGGTATCAAACACCGAATGGCAAGCGGTCGCCGACCCAGACAAGGGAACGAGGAACACGGACACAATCCTGCTTCCTACCTCCAGCACTGGCAACTGCCACAACCCAACACATCCACAACAGCCCACACAGAGCTCCATCTGCAATTCCAAATGGTTTCATCATTTCACTCATTTTCCTCTTTCTTCATTCCAAAACCATTCCTCCAGATGTTCCCCATTAAAACATTTCTTTCCTTGATGGACCCATGAACAAAGTCACACTCAGATGCTGTGGGCACAGAGAACAAACGAGAACATGCCAGCACAGCTTGCGTACTGGAAGAGGAAACCGGGCTGCACTATGAACCAAACAATAACGTGGTTACACTTGTGCCCCTGTGCTTGCATTCAGTCACTGATGTGAAACTTGTATCACCATCTACATCACACCCAGCCTCAACCCAGAGGCTTTTAAGAGAGTGGAAAGAAGTTCCACCTTTTCATGTTACTGCTAAATAAATGGAAAAAGGCAAGTAACACCAAGAAATCTAAATCCGTGCGTTGCTTGTTATCCATATCTAGATATTTACATAACTTCTTCCCCCACCAAGTTTCTTTTTTCTAGTATCATCATTTTAATATTAAAACCAGAAAAAAGTAAATTTTCAAAAGCCTTCAGAGTCTGAGCAATTTACAGCTGTTTTGTCATTGCAATGACAGAGCAAACCAGTCTGGAAGGATTTCCAGAAGATAATTTATTTACATCTTTCAACGAAGCAGCTGCTCAGTGCTACGTGGGTACTTGCTAATTCAGAGAAAAGTTAACGCACAAACCTCAGAAGCACTGAGCAACACTGGTGTAAAACCATTTTGTTCCTGACTGGCAGCACCCCTCCTAGAAGTCCAGGACATTCAAACACGACATCGTATCTCCGCTTTCCAGAGTGCAGCCAAGTGTCACCTCTCAACACCCATTTCTTATCCTCTCGCAGATGATTTGGCAAAGCAGAAGGGAAAAGGACCACATCTCCTATAGCAAAGGCAGAAACGATCCATCTGAACCCCGCTTCCTTCTGAAAACAGCCATCCTCTGTGTGCTACCCTGAGCCCCTTCGTGACATACAGCACATGCACAAACGCACGTATGAGACTGGGCAGTCGAGCTGTCTGAACAGTCAAAACACTTTATACGAAAAAGCTCTTTTCATTTCAAAAGTCCTTTTGAAATAACTCAATACTAGACCTTGGTGGACATTTTGTACAATATGAAAAATTCTAAAGTATTTGAAAGCCTGGATTTAAATAATAACTGCCCGCTAACAGTTTAGTAAGAAGAAAGCAATTAGGCTACAGAAGATTAAAAAGCCACTGCATTTATATGACTAAAGATCCTCCTGTGCTGTGTTCTGTATTTCCAGGATCCGCTCCACTGCAAAGCGCCTCGTACACTTGGTCATGCTTTAGGCAACAGTACCACCTATAGATAAAATACACCACGAACAATTCAGTAGCTTCACGTACATACTTTTCTGAGAAACTTTCTACTAGAGTTAATGAATAATAATGAAACTGTAATGGAAATAATATTTATGATTCAGTACATAAATCCCTACGCTGCACCGTGACAGGATGCCGTGACGCCACACCTCTGAAGGGAAGCAGCCCTCCAAAGCCAAGCGCAGCAACTCAAACCAGCCGCTGTCGCCACCAGCACAAAGACACAAGTTGAGCAGAACCAGCAAAGTGAGCGTGTCCCAGTTCAAGGATCGATAGACCCGACAATCTGCAATAGACTGAAATAGGATTTTAACCAAAACCACCACAAACATTTTTAGGATCTGTGGATTGACTATGTGTTAACCCCCCTGATTTAGCTGGGGCTATCACAAACTGATATTCACTGAAATAAATAAATTTTCTTCAATAACATGCACCACATGCAAGAACCTCCCAATAGCTGCCAGTGAATCAAGTCTAACTCGTGAAAAAGCAGGTTCAAAGTTTTACAAAGCTCCATGACACACAGTATAGAAGACACCAGTGATCATCACCAGAGTCCTCTCTTGTTCTGTCAACACACGACACATACCAAC